GCTGATAGCAAAACGAATTTACTTTATAAGGTATAATCACATTTTTGTAAGATTAGTAGTAATTTCTATATTTTTTATTTGTCCTAATTTATCAGCGGTGCTTGTCGCCGTGAATAATTATTACATGTAACTATTCATGCCATTGAATATGCTGGATCTATATTGATTGTTGAAATACCTGATACGGAGACCTATTCTGCTGCCTGTAGCAAAAAGGCGGCAATTACCATAAGTACAGTTTTGAGAAAATGGCGAAAAACGTTTTTGTGCTACGCCACGAAAGAAATGAAAGAACTTAGAGGGTATTCTTACTCCTAGTTGCACAAACCTGAACTATGCTATTCAGATATGGCCGAGGGTTAATTTTTTTAAGTTTGGCTTGTGGAGTGCAATCCAGCCAATTTGCAAAATCTTTTGGCTGCATGGAAATAATTGACACCTTTTTGGAATTTGCGTCTTGTACTGCTTTTTCAAAATCACTAAAGTCATAAATATTTTCATAACGCTTCATCGCTTGTTCCACCTGGTGATGGAAACTATCTGCGCTCATAAATGTATGTCCTGGTTCGAAATACTTTATGTAAATTTGTGTTGCACTAATCTCAGTACAATTATGAACAATATAGACCAGAAACGTGAAGAAACACCAATTTTTGTTCTGTGACGAACAGTTGTCTAACCAGAGGGTTATCGTGGTAGCATCCCTGTTTTAGAGTAAAAATGCATAAAAGCTGCTGATTATGTCTTCTTTCTTCCTTCCAGAAATTCCTTCCTGCCATAGTATGGCAATGGGATTTAATTGACGTTGATGTACACCTACAGGAACAAAACTTTCATTGAATAAGACGATTCTCGGGGTAAATAGAAAAATTTTATTTTGATCCATGCGTGGTAGCATTATGACTTTCTGCAGATCCGCACACGTCTGATATGTCTCTATTCAACATATTGGCATCTTCACGATACTGATCTTGGGATTTATTAGCTCTATCCTTATGACAGCTGTATGAATTACAAGTGGTACAATCTGCTTGCAGATTATCTTTAGTGTGTTCGTGTTGATCGAATGTTCCACAAATCTCACACTCTTCGTGACCAAGTTTGGCAAAGGAAATATTGAGTTCTTTCAAAACATTTCTATATACGTCATACGAACATTCAAAATTTGGATTATCCTTATTAAATTCCTTACACATATATGTCAAAGTTAAATGACTTGGTAGATACCGTCTATTGGGAGCATGTTCTCTACGATAATGAGAGATTGAGGGGTGAAATGATTCAATATGGAGCCGTATCTTAGTTCTGTCCAGTTTTTTGGTAGAAGGCTTCTTTCCTGAAAAGTAATACTGATTGAATAATAGCTATTTGTATGACAAGGGAGAAAAGTTTTACTTTTCTTCCCGAGTATGAAGTTTTCGTCGCGTAGCGGAGGGCATTGATCATTCAAGGGAGGAAAAGGCACTTTACCCCCATGTTATACATATGATTTTTCCGCCTCCCTCAAATAACAAAGTACGACTTTGCCTCCTACTTCGAGGCCAGGATATGTATACTTCGGATAGAGGTAGGCGGAAAATTGTATTAAACACCGAAATGATTTACAAACCTCGCATATCGCGTGTAAAGTAAACGTAAGGTGATTGACAGACATATTGAGAGTGTTCTGAACAACTTTGTCGTTGCTTGGCTTAAAACCAAAGTCAGAAAGAATGGTTTGCATACTTGAAAAATGGTACCATTTTCATTCTTCATATGATAGGTGTAGCTATCTTTCCTAGCAGAAACATCAACTCTGTTAGTGTGCCTTTTAATGTTCAACCTTTAGGTATTATTCAAAATAAACTGACGTTGTTCATCCCAGCTCATTTGCCAGAACTCATCATTTATCTGGATCCTCCTATTATCATCTATATGCGAGATACATTTTCTTCTACCATTGACTGAACATGGAGGTTTAACGTTATATTCTTTTCGTTTTTCATCTTTTTTGGCTTTTTTTCTCGCATCAAGTGGCGTCGAAAGAGTACGTCTTTTTCTGGATTTACCTTTTTTGGTAACCAATAAAAGACTATTCGAGGGATCCATAATATGTTCTTGATTGAATTGGTCTTCAGAATCTATTTTCACGATTGGTGTCGGTATTATTATAATCTGCTGTATAACGTTAATCTTGCTATTCTCATTAGAGACTGGTAAAAATGGTGCATGCTCCTGTGTAAAACAATTAGTATCCTTCAATATTACAGCTGAGCCTGATGGTATCTCATTTTCATCATATTTGAAGACGCCTGAATTGCTATCATCCTTACTCTCTCGAATATAAATGAATTCATTTATGCTGTTGATATCAATATTCCAACTATTGTCTGCAAATATTGTAAATAATAACCACCCCCAAACCACAAGTAGTATGTTATAAACTTACTATTAACATCAATTTGAATATCATTGGGAACATCTAGCTGATCGGACGTTGAAGTTGTTCTTGCAAATATAACTTCTCTAATTTCAGTACAATCGGTTATCTTATCAGATTCAACACCTTGAAATAATAATCAGTTCGTAATATAAAAAATTATTTTTACCTAGGTCATCATTTTGTTGAAAATCTGCATCACATATTTCTATATTGATATTATCCATAGTATTGGGACTGTCGCAATTGATATTTTGTAATTCCTGCAGCTCCTTTCGCGTGCAAGGAAGATTTGAAAACTACTACTACAACTACTTCAGTAACAACATTTGTCCGTGGGAGAAAAAGTAGGATCATCATTTTCATTTGTTTTCGCTGATTTACACTTTACAATGTTAGGCATTAGGCTTTCATTTCTAGCTAAGGCCACTAAAAGATGACCTCTACTTGTCGACATTATAGTGAAATATTATTTCAGCAAAATGCATTATTTTTATTTATTAACAATTACACTCAGCACTCACTCATTTACTGAACTGACAACTACTATGTTACGCTAACTTAGAAAATATAAACACGATTCGTGACACCGACAAGAAAACAGTCAGTACTAACATATATCAATCGAGGAGTTTGTAATAAAAAGGCGGTAATTGACAACATTTTCTGTAATTACCGCTTTCTCACTAAATATTTACTACTTGCCCCCTTTTAACTTCCTGAACTGATGACGCTCTGAACTTACGGCCAATTTGATTCGCCTTTTTTATCTATACTGACTACTTTTACCGCTTTTAAACTTCGTATATAGGTTGAAAACAGTCACCCCAACTTACCGACCGTTAAACCTGAAAATCACTAAAAATTGTAGTTGCCGCCTTTTTACTACTGGCGGCAGTTATAGGAACGGGGATATGGGTTTTAATCAGTGCTGTAGACAGTACGGAATTCCAAAACCGACACTTAAGCGTCATTTAGACAATAAAAATATAAAGGCCAATGAAGGTACCAAAGCTATGGGACTTCACCCTACATTACCACCCGATGTAGAGCAACAGCTTGTAGACCATCTAAAAAAACTAGAAGCGTGTTTCTTTGGGCTCACAATAACGGACGTGCGTAGACTCGCATTTCAAATTGTTGTTAGTATGATGTCACCAGAAAAGACATCTACCCTCTCCCTAGAATAGATGACACCCTGAATATATTGGCCAAATGCAGATGGTTCTCAACATTAGATCTGAAAAGCGGATATTGGCAGGTGGCAGTTCGCCCCGAGAATGAAGAGAAGACTGCTTTTTCCACCGGCAATGGATTATACCAGTTCAAGTTTATGCCATTCGGGTTATGCAACGCACCCGCATCATTTGAACGCTTCTTGGAATTGGTGTTGAGAGGACTTACCTGGAAAACATGATTGTCACCGTAATTGCCAGACACGGAGTACCCCAAAAACTACACTCGTATCAGAGCCGCAACTTCGAATTGGATTTATAGAAGGAAATGATAACTCTGTTGGGAATAAAGAAGATAAGAACAACTGCTCTTCGACCCACAATCCGCACCATCAATAACTACCTCTCGATTGTTGTCTCCGAAAACCAAAGATACTGGGATAAATTGGTTCCTCTTTTTCTGATGGCATATAGGAGCTCCCAACATGACATATCATCCATGTTGATAACTGGTAGGGAACTGAAGCTTCCGGTAGATGTATTGTATGGCAGTCCTTTCGATGAACTTCGAGAGGTACCTCTCTCAGAATATGTGAATGACCTGAAGGAGAGACTGGAAAGTGTACACGAATTTGCCAGGACCCAATTAAAACTTTCCAGCAACAGGATGAAGATAAGATTTGACAAAAAACAAAAGAGGGCGATGCAGTGTGGCTCTACCAACCCCAACGTCGAAAAGGTTTGTGTCCCAAGTTACAGAGACCATGGCAGGGACTTTACTTGGTAACCAAAAAGATAAACGATCTGGTGTACAGAATCCAATTGTCACCCAGAAGCAACCCTAAAGTTGTCCATATAGAGAGGCTAACTCCTTACATGGATCGTGATGTCTCGTCTTGGAATGTTGTTGGGGGCGAACAACCTTAGGAAAGGGGGTAGTGTTGTAAATCATGCCCGAAAAAAAATAATGCCGGCCGCCACTGGTAGCCATAAACCAGGCATGACGTAGCTAAGAGCGCGCGAGCCAATCAAGAAGCAACGAGAATAATAGCAGGGTAGCCCACGATGCAAAATGGGGATTTCCTCGAGCGTCATTGAGACATATTAGGTTGCAAAGCTTAGATGATAAGAAGAAATCCCGCCTATAGTAGCTGTGGTGAATCTCAAACAAAATCACAAAATTTTGTTCAAGAACCTTGTTAGCGTTTTGCGTTCATGATGAGCATTTATTACTTTTCACAGAGTACAGCAAGAAATACTGATCACTGAAGTTATTTGATTGAAAAGCAGTGTTTGTTGAAGTTGCCAATTTTGTAGATTGACATGGCTCTCCTTATTCAAATTGTGTTTACAATCAATGTACATTCTCTCTACAATCAACACAAATAGTATAACTTATATTTCAGGTGAAATTTGGGACGAGTTAATCTGCAACGAGTACGGAATCCTTGTATTTCTTGACGTAGAGAATGGCCCGCTTCCAAAATATGGTTCAGTTGGAATAAACATATGGATATACGCAAACACTTTTGGAATTTACTCAGAAGAAGTAATGATTGAAATACCAGAAATTCCCGCCTTCAGTTTCTCCTTGCTCATTGATGTTGTTGGATGTCCTATAGTTTTTCCAATGGCATTGAATTCGCTAACAAAAAATCCAATTATGAGGTATTTCAGTTGCATATATTTTATTCATTCTGAAGAAAAATCTTTCGATGTCATTTTTATAATTCAATATCATTATGCATTGATGCAAATACTGTTATTCAAATTCACACAATAGTCACAATAGTCAGTCGTGAATGGAGAGACACACATTCTTTAACAATAACAAGAAACAACTGAAAAATGTATAGCATTGAAAATCACTTCTGTTCACGATAAAGATGACCATGTAGTGAAAAGAGAGTTGCATTATGATATCTCTGTCTATGTCTATCAGAAAACTTGAATCAACTTGGAACAGAGGTGTTTTGTAATTAAATCACCAGACTCAAGATGAAAACAGTAAGATTCAGTTGAAAACTCAACCGAAAAATTTTGAAATATCACAGATAATAGACTGCAATCTCCTTTCGTCGCAACGGGTCAACCGTGGCAAAACTAATGGAAACAGGAGATCTGTTGCAACGCATTTTGCTCTAGATTCATGATCGAACCTAAATTCACACGAATTTCATTATTTCGGACTTCCATTGTCTGATATCATATAAAATGATTTAAAATTCCTGAAATAACTAATAAAAAAGAAGAATCAGAAAAGAATCGCTGATAATGATAATTATATTAAACAAAAAACCCTGTAATGAAATAACAGTGAAATACATTACGGGTAAATATAGAACAATTGAACAAAAATCAAAAATAAAAATTTAAGAGATTTTAAGCCAAGTTACTTCACGACGTTTCGAGTATTAGTATCCGCAATCGTATGACTGGACTAATCCCTTCGAGAGATGATTATTCATGGGTCATTCGAGTACTTTCACTTCACCGGTTTAGCCGGAGATGAACGTTTGGAGGGAGTTGACCATTTATCGCTTCATTATGGGTTTCCATATGTTCCATATCTCTTCGCTGGTTTGGTTGAATACATTGTTGGACAACATGTATCCGGCTTCTTAGAATTTCCTCCTAAACCAATGTTCCTCCCTGTGTATGATCTCCGCTTCGGACCACTCGATGTTATATTGATGGGTCCAAACATGTTCTGCTATTCCTGATTTGATGGTTTCTCCTTGCTGTGTGTGTTTCTTGTGCTCGGCAATGCGGAACTTTCAATGGCCTCTTTGTGACCACCGATATAGAATTTTCCGCACTCACATCCAGTAAAAGCAATTCTTGGAATCGCAGTCCGCGTGTGGTGGCCTGGTTTTCGTGAGGCCGCTACGGATAATGTTTCCGGGTCTAAAGCAGGTTCTAATGTAGTACTTGAATCCAATTCTTCTTATCCTTTCCGATAATCCTCTGATGTAGGGAAGTGCAAGCACTGGTTGTGACAGCTTCTCTTCCATGCGAGGCTCCTGAAGTCTTTCAGCCAAAGTTTTTTCTACCATCGATTTGGAGTAGCCATTCCGTTGAAGATCATTTTTAATGATGTCTTCTAATTCCTTCTTGAGACCTTCCTTCGTATTACAGAGCCTGAAAGCACGGTCTAATAGAGTCTTGATGATTCTTCTTTTAGTCGATGGATGGTGGTAGGATTCGTAGTTCAGATACTGTCCCGTGTGAGTGGGTTTTCTGTATACAGATGTTTACCACTTAGTTTCGGTCCTCTTTTACCAATTCGTTGTGGACTTCCTTCTCCATTGTGAAACTGATGGAAGGTCTTACGCTGTTGATGTGTTTTAGGAAGACGTCAAGTTCAGTATTTTCCATTATTCCATATTATGAAGGTGTCGTCAACGTGTCTCAAGCAGACACGAGGTTACTTGTGGGCGTCTTCATTGTCGTGGGCGTCTTCAGAGTTTCAAACCACTCCATAAATATCTTGGCTATGACCGGTGAAAGTGGAGATTCCATTGGCAGTCCCTCATCTTATGTAAAGAATTTCTTTTTTAATTCTTCTCTTTCATTAGTTATTTCAGGGATTTCAAATCTTTTTTTATAATATCAGGCAATAGAAGTAGTCACAGTCAACATTCCAATTATGATGTCAACCGCAGTAATAGACGAAACGTTTTATACTTCAGGTCCCATCTGACCACAGCCTGCCAGCCGGATTTTATTCTTTTCAATCAGTTGTTTTATTGACAACAAATATAAATTCTTTGAACAAAAATAATATTTCAGATTTGGAAGCTTTCCATATAGTTCAAGACCAATCAGAAGACAAATACGCATATCGAATACAAGTTGTGTACCAGTCCACATTATTTGGAACACATTCATGGGCGTTTCTCAGGAATCTGATGACGAGAATTTCAGTATTTCCTTTGACGTTGTCAATTACGATTACAGTCCTGCTAGGGGAGATCTATGTTTATTCAATGAGTACTTAGGAAAAAATACAGAAAGTTGTGGGGTAAGATGAAATACATTGTTAGAACAATTCACATTACAATTTGAATAACTTCAGTTTTCTTGAGATGCTTTCGTGAAAATAACTAAGTATCGGAAGAATATTTTCAATAATGATAAGGGTCCTATCACTGAAACTTGATACATTCACCGTGATGCACTAATATTCTGTCAAAACATGACGAAAGTCTGTCCATATTCTGGGCACTAAGTTAGCAAGCATATTCTCCACTATTGAAATCATTTACAGAATGAAAAAGACAGGGACTTGAATGTGAATTGGCGCCCAACTCTCATTGTTTTCAGAACTCTCGTAAATATATCAAAATCCATCGTACATTTTTGTGCCAATAAAGAAATCAAAGCTAAATTCCAGAATATCATAAAGACGGCATATTTGATTTTCATTTACATTCTTCTCTATTACAAAACTTCAGTTGAGATTTCGAGAAATGTATATTTTTAATCGAACCATGATTTTATAGGTTGCATCAAAAGAGACCGATATTGAACCAAATTCGAGTGCTTACATTGATGTGTTTCTGAAGCCTAGATATTTCATTGGAAAAAAACAACAAATGGACTTGAAATGGCATATCATTGGACATATATATGTCAAGGATTGGTATAGGTATGAAGAACTGTTTTATCACTGGACTTGGCCAAATCCATACATAGCTATAACATTGTACATTACTCAGTTATGATAAAAAAAAATTAAATATCTTCATCTGGCTAAGTACAAAGACAATAAAAACTTTTTGTGAATTATAAGTGTCATATTTTGTTACGGAAATAAGAAATAAAGATGAAAATTATAATGTTATATTCCAATAAATGAATCATCGGTGTTCTTAGAACTAGAATCGAAAAACCCATGTTTAAGACATCTTGGTCATATTATCAGATATCTGAAACCTTTCTTCTTTCGACTTTCCCAATAGTATACAAAAATTAAACTATTTCCAAAAAAAAAACAATATCAGAAAAATTAACAAATTAGTACATAATCGTCTGGTTTGTGTACAAATTGAGATAGAAAAAGTTATTTCTGTTTAATTCAAAATCCGTAGTAAGAGCTATTTTTCAGATATATTTTTTCTTTCAGCTGGTATCTTAAAGAAACATATGTGGATAGGGTACACATATTTCAAAGTTTTCTTTAGTAAATATCAACTCTTTTCCTATTTTGAAGCTCTCTATTTTCTGTATAACCTGAGGTAGGTTAGTTTAGGTTAGGTCCATTGTGATTGGGTCCACTCAACCTTCCACCGCAACCCGCGAGGGTTTATTGTGGCTCACACATATTCACACTCGACCAAATGAACCCAGCTTTTTAACGAAGCCGATTAGTTTTGAATGGTGACTGATCTTTCAGGTCAGGTAGTAAGAGTACGGCTCTGCCGAACTCTAAAAACCTGATTCGGTCCCCAGCGGGGCAGGCACAAAGTATGTGTACTCTGCTGTTTCATCATTTTCCGAACAGAGGCAACACACACTGTCTTCCGACAGTCCGAGTCCCTGCATATGATGATTCAAATGACAGTGACCTGTAAGAAGGCCTGTTAGACATCGTAGTTCATCCCCACTGTAGTCCAACAACTTTTTAGTATCAAGCTTCGAAGGGTGTATAAACGCCTTAAAGTGAGCCAATCCTGAAAAATTCTGCCTTAGACTTTGTCTGATAGTTTTTGTTGGCTTAAATATTGATTTCACGTCGTGAAATGTCGTATCTCCAAAAATATTCCTTTTCCAATTTGAATGTATTTCAGTATTTCAAGTATCAATGAATATCTATCTATACTCCTATAAATATGAAAGTTTGTGAGGGTGGGTATATGTATGTATGTATGTATGTATGTATGTATGTTTGTGGCTCTTCCACGCCTAAACGATTGAACGGATTTGGATGAAACTTTATTAATACAGCTTATAAATCAGAATAACATATAGGCTACAATTCATAAAGGTTTTGTGTGATTTTCGTCATAATATAACGATATGTATCAAGTATGTCGGAAAAATTATTGCTCCCTGACAGCTATTTCAGCGTGCGCTGCCTATACCGTTGGAGTTACATGCAGATATTCTACCGTAAAATTGTTTATCTTGAATGGTTCTAATAGTGCACATATAGTGGTAGCCACTATAAGCAAAATACTGAGCCATAAATACAATTCAATTGGATACTTTTTTTACAATACACATTTCAGAATATTTGCCAAATTTTTTATAAAAATGGATTCACTTGTCGTTTCGGGTATTAAATATAAATGAACTTTGTCTTTTACACTGAGTAATTTGGACGGTTGTGTTAGTTTTTCGAATTTCTTTATAGGTAATATAATTCGATTCTCGAAGCTATTCATTACTTAGTGCAGTTGGCATATTTTTTGTTTACTGTATTTTCGAAGTAAAAATATAAATTACTAGCTGTTGCCCGCTTTTATATTAACGTACGGCCGAAGCTTCTGAATCTAGAATCTTGAAATATGCAGGTAGGTTCTTTGTATAGTGTAAATTAACATCAAGAAAGGGTATCAGTAATTTCCGCCCCAAGTTTTTCAGTTGGAAACCAGAAGTTTTGGGTTGAATGTAAAATATTATAACTATTTGTTCAAAATGTTCTGTCAGGAAACTTAATGTGTGACAAAACAAATTCTACGAGGGCGAAGCCACGGGAAAACAACTAGTTTAACTATAACTGAATAATATATCTAATCGCTATATTCAATTACAAAGGAAGAAAGCGCAAATTTTACAAATTTTAACCTTATTGGGAGATGGGAAAGAAATTCATATGAGAAGCAAAGATTATGGATATTTTGTTTTTCTCGGAACAACCTTATAATAAATCGTTTCTCTTCAAGGAGCAAGCTGAATTATTTCTACAGAAAAACTGGTTCGAAAGGAGAGTATATCCAGTTAGATGTTGAAGCGACTTTGGAACGTGAACTTTTGGAAAAAGACGAGGTGTACGGAGACTCCAAGTTGATTTTTTATGCAAACGACGTGATTTTCAAAAAAATATTTTTACACTATATACGTTTGGTTTTTCGGAACACTAATCGGTCACCGTGCGAGGCCACGTTGAAGACTGTGGATCCATTTTCGATGAGAAGTGATAAAAATGAATTGATTAAGGAAAAAAAGATAATACTCAAAACTGGTGGATGCGAAGAGGTAATATAAAATGTCTGTAATTTTTCTACTGACTCAAAAGGAAAACTTTATTGACATGAACATGTTTTAGCATCAGGAATATAGATATAAAAGAAAGGAGTTGCGGTATGCAGTTATGAATGAAAAAAAAAACTAATTGAAATAGCGTAGATGATAAATGCGCTCTACTGAAAACAGGAGAGACGGGTTCGAATCCCGGTCAAAACACGTTTTTTCAACTCAGTTTTCGTTTCATGTAGGTCCGCAAACCGCAAATGCACTCCTTCATATTTTTTATTCAATTTAAGATGCCAAAATCGAGACAAATCTAGATACGCGAATACTGTTACTATTTTCAACTATTGTGAATTATTTTTTTTTGGGAAATTAAAAAAAGACAGTCACAATGAACCGATACTCTGAATAGAGTAAAAAATATTATCGTTCCTTATTTCACCTCATGAGCTCCAGCCATGATCTTTTCAAGAAAGTTATGAACCCGCCAGTGATGCATGGATTATAAAGCATCCAGGAAAAACTATGGTTATTTATGATATGGCCCCTCTCGTAATAAAACGAATCAAAATCAACTCATTTATCAAATATAGTTATAATAGTTCCTGATTATGAAAAACAAACCGAAAAATATCGTATGTGTTCCATCTTCAACTAACTCAACAGTTTCGATTCCAGATTCCTTAAAATTACGCATCCAAGAGTCTATGCATCGAATTTCCATTAAAAGTCAATTGATTTTTTCCCAAGATACCTATCAGTTGGTAAGGAAAAACAAGAACGATTGAACCATAAAAAACAAGAACAATTGAACTATAAAAAATACGAAAATGTGACAAATCCATTAAAAAATTAATACGACCAAAAAAATAAATATACGACACAAATGTGAAAAAAATGCTTTTTGACATCACCAAATAAAAAATGTGGGAAACCTTGTAGAAAAGATAAAAAAGAAATGAATAGAATGAAAACTATTTTCAAATCGGAAAAACGTGAATTTCGTTAAATTAATGTACTTACAAGTATGTAAAAGGTACTTTCTGTAGGAGTTTTTTCCCAAAAAAAACCAATCTCTCCCAAAATATTTCCTTCACTGTGTGAGGGTATAAGAAGCAAATAGAGCGGGTTGGAGGCAAGAAAGGCACAGTTGTATCTGCTCGATTTGTCTCGAGCTATCTCTAGATAGCAAACCTGAAGAAAATGGGTGCACTGTCTTTACCATTATTGGTCTCATGAATTATTCAATAAACAAGAAGGCAATCATGGATGTCATAATTGTATGGGCATTACGGCGAATCTGGCAAATCAAACATCCAAAACCTACGTATCAACCAATCAACTGGAACGTCCTCAGTCCACAAGTTGGAATTCTGAGCGGCACATTTCGGCCTCTATGGCTACGATTACCTGAGGGATCAGGAGACGCCTCCTAGCTGGTGGTTGCAGTAGTACTTGCAGCCATGAAAGGATTCTCTCTAGAAAGCGCCACAGGAGATCTAATTCCCAAGCCACACATATTGTTGCTTGCCTATCTGACGAATATAGTCGCAAACTGATCACCGATCAAATTAGCACTATAATATATTTCCTTACTCAGCGGCGTAATGAATCATTTTCGAATGTCTGTTCCATAATTGATTAGTAAAAGTGTAAAATGTAGTATTTATTCAAGATATTCAATGTTGTTATATGATTTGATATAGAAAAATATTTTTGTAGTTGTATGTACATCTACGGTAAATAACACAAATATGGAACACTCGCATTAACAAAATGATCTTTTTGATAAAACAGAGTATAATGCCATGAACGATACTGTTGTGAATCATTCCCGAAAGTAAATAACGCTGGCCGCCACTGGTAGCCAAACCAGACGTGACGTGGCTAAGAGCGCGCGAGCCAATCGAGAAGCAACGAGAATAATGCTACCGACTTCGACAGAACTTCGGAGAAATTTAGACGACATTCGATTACGATATTCAAAGGCTAGCCACAAGGATATCGCGACAGTCAAGTGGACATTACAGAACTATGCAAGGCCACCCGATTCATCGAGTAAGAGAACGAAATGTTTGTGAAGGGCAAAATTATTGGTCCAACGGATTTAGTTCAACATCGCATCGATATTGGCGATGCCAAACCCATATGTCAACTACCAAGACGTCTTCCCTTCGCAAAGGAAAACGAAGCTACATCCATTGTTGAAAGAAAAAGTAATCGAGGAATCAAACAGCCCCTGGTCGTCACCTGTTGTGTTAGTGACTGAGAAAGATGGATCGACGAGATTTTGCGTAGATTACAGGATGCTTAATGATGTCACCAGAAAAGACATCTACCCTCTCCCTAGAATAGATGACACCCTGAATATATTGGCCAAATGCAGATGGTTCTCAACATTAGATCTGGAGAGCGGATTTTGGCAAGTGGCAGTTCGCCCCGAGAATGAAGAAAAGACTGCTTTTTCAACCGGCAATGGATTATACCAGTTTGAGTTTATGCCGTTCGGGTTATGCAACGTACCCGCATCATTTGAACGCTTCTTGGAATTGGTGTTGAGAGGACTTACCTGGAAAACATGATTGGTCACCTTAATTGCCAGACACGGAGTACCCCAAGAACTACACTCGGATCAGAGCCGCAACTTCGAATTTGATTTATAGAAGGAAATGATAACTCTGTTGGGAATAAAGAAGACAAGAACAACTGCTCTTCACCCATATCCGAAAACCAAAGATACTGGGATAAATTGGTTCCTCTTTTTCTGTTGGCATATAGGAGCTCCCAACATGATGTTCCCAACATGACATACCATCCATGTTGTTAACTGGTAGGGAACTGAAACTTCCGGTAGATGTATTGTCCTTTCGATGAACCTCGAGAGGTACCTCTCTCAGAATATGTGAATGACCTGAAGGAGAGACTGGAAAGTGTACACGAATTTGCCAGGACCAAATTAAAGCTTTCCAGCGATAGGATGAAGATAGGATTTGACAAAAAGTCGCTACCAGCGAGCTTCAAAGAGGGCGATGCAGTGTGGCTCTACCAACCCCAACGTCGAAAAGGTTTGTGTCCCAAGTTAAAGAGACCGTGGCAAGGACTTTACTTGGTAACCAAAAAGATAAACGATCTGGTGTACAGAATCTAATTGGCACCCAGAAGCAAGCCTAAAGTTGTCCACATAGAGAGGCTAAGTCCTTACATGGGTCGTGATGTCTCGTCTTGGAATGTTGTTCGGGGCGAACAACCTTAGGAAAGGGGGTAGTGTTGTAAATCATGCCTGAAAAAAAAAATGCCGGCCGCCACTGGTAGCCATAAACCAGGCGTGATGTAGCTAACAACGCGCGAGCCAATCAAGAAGCAACGAGAATAATAGCAAGGGAGCCCACGATGCAAAATGGGGATTCACTCGAGCGTCATTGAGACATATTAGGTTGCAAAGCTTAGATGATAAGAAGAAACAAATATATACCTTTTCATCAGTGGGGGAAGCGGCTATAGATTTTTAAATATGTAAAAAAATACTGTTGCATGGACATACTCGAGCGCGTCAGATTTTCTAAGGAGGTGTTAAGTGCTACAAACAAAGCTCCCAAGAGTCTATGCATCGAATTTCCATTAAAAGTCAATTGATTTTTTCCCAAGATACCTATCAGTTGGTAAGGAAAAACAAGAACGATTGAACTATAAAAAATACGAAAATGTGACAAATCCATTAAAAATTTAATACGACCAAAAAAATAAATATACGACACAAATGTGAAAAAAATGCTTTTTGACATCACCAAATAAAAAATGTGGGAAACCTTGTAGAAAAGATAAAAAAGAAATGAATAGAATGAAAACTATTTTCAAATCGGAAAAACGTGAATTTCGTTAAATTAATGTACTTACAAGTATGTAAATGATCACTGA